CATCATAGCTTTTAATATATTTTTTAAAATAGAATTTTATAAAGCCCATTTTGTTTGGAGATTTTTACAGAACACAAGGTGTGTTAATTTTTTCATTTTTTAAAAAAAATAAAAAACTGAATAGAATACTTTTATAAAACACTTTATCCGCAATAATTTTCTTATTGGTGTTTAAAAAAGTATGGTTATATTTTAGTTTTAATACCAAAAAAAAAAAAAAAAAAAGTGGTTAAAAGGCTTTTCATTTAAAAAAAAACAAAAAAAATTTTTAAAAATAAAAAAAAAAATAAAATTAAAAAAAAAAAAAATTAAATTAATCTCAGGTTTTATTACACTTTACAAAAAAAATAAAAAGAAAACTTTGTCACCTTATAGTTGCATCAGAAATTATTTTGTTTTTTTCTTTTTGATACAATTCAAAATAATATAAATATTTTGAGTTTTTTTATTTTTATTATTTCATTTTGCAATTGTAAAAAACAGATAAAAAAAAAAACTATTATTTCTTTTAAAAGATACTAATAGGATATTTATATCATCACAAAATTTTATTTATTTTTATTTTTATTTTATTTTTTTTACAATTTAAACCAAAAGTCATTTTATTCATCATTTACCCTTTTTCATAATCTATATTTCTTTATCTCTAATAAAAAACTCCTCTTCATATTATTCATAATACCATTCATCAAAACAATTTCAAAAAAATTTTTAATAATAATAATAATAATAACAATAAATTTTTTAAACTGATCAATATATAAATCAATAAACTACAATAAACAACCACTACAATAACATCAATATAATAATATTATTTTAAAAATAAAAACTTCCCAACCCTCTAAAAAACACTTTTCTTTTTTCCAACACACTTATCAAATTTAATCGTTGGTCTTTGATTTAAAATTTTACTTTGGTGTGTCATTAAAAGAAACACCATCAATTATTAAAAAAAGAAAACACAAACACACACTTTTTACAACCCCCCTAAACACCACATTCACACACTTTAAAATTTTTAACCTCCATTAACCCTTAATTGTGTGATATTATTTTGAAAAAACAAAATAATTTGTTCAACCACTCAAAAAGCTTCAGTTTAAATCCTAAAAATAATAATTTAATTTATAAATCTAACAAATTTTATATAAAAAGAAAAAAAAAAAAAAAAATATAAATTATTATTTTATAAAAATAGTAATAATATAAAGAAATTTTTTATTATAATTTTTAAATATTTATTTTTGTATATAATATCATCATCATAAACACAAACAATCAAGAACTAGTTTTTTATTATAAAATAGATAAAAAATTGCCATTTCCTTTAATTTTAAAATAATAAAAACATTAAAATAATTGTATTTTTTTATTTATAGTTTATTTTAAACAATCAACATCATCATCAGCATCCCCATCCCATCATTTTACCCAATAATAATAATAATTAAAAAGTTATTTTTATTTTATTTTTATTTTTATTATTTTTAAAAATTTTATTTTAAAAAATAAATAAAAAAAACACTATAAATATTTTTCCCATTACAATCTCACAATCAAAGAAAACATAAACAAATAAATAAATAAATAAAATGGGTAACGCTTCATCATCATCATCCAAAAGTAAAAAAAACAATGGCAATAATAACAATTGTAAAAACGCATGTAATAATAAGAAAAAAACTACAAATGAATGCAATAACAAAAAAGAAGTTGGTCCAAAAAATTATAAATTAATTGTACTTGGTTCATCTGGTGTTGGTAAAACATCCTACTCGTTCAGATTTGTTTCAAATATTTTTATTACCGAATATGACCCAACAGTCGAAGATGCCTACAAAAAAGACTATACCTATGACGGAAAAGAAATGAAATTAGAAATTATCGATACTGCTGGTCAAGAAGAATATAGTAGTGGCGTTATGGATAAATCCATTAGATGCGGCGATGGATTTGTTTTAGTCTACAGTATCACAAGCAGAGAAAGCTACCAAAAAATTAAAGATCTCAGAGAAAAAATTCTTTGGGTCAAAGATAAGGAAAAGGTCCCAATGATCATTGTCGGTAATAAATCAGATATTGAAAAAGATAGAAAAGTAACTAAAAGCGAAGCTCGTGCCTTAGCTGAAGAATATGGTTGTAAATATATAGAAACTTCTGCAAAAACAAATACAAATATTAGCGAATCGATGGATTTCTTATTAAAAGATATTTTATTTAACGAATCAAAAGAAAAAGAAAACAAATAATTAAATAATAATACAATAATAATATGATTAAATTTTTTTTTCAATAATAATATTTTTGCTAATAATTATTAACTATAAAAAAAAAAAACCAAACTAAAATTTTTTTGTAAATATATAAATAAACTTTTTAAAATTAATTTTTCTCCATAATCTGCTTTTCTTTTTATTTTTAAATCTATAACTTTTTTTTTAAATCAAAATTTTTTTTTTATATCCAAAATTATCAAAATTTTTTTTTTTTTTTTTGGTTAAAAATCTAAAAACTATGTATTTTTCAAACACATCCATAATTATACATTTATCATTGATTCTAAAATAAAAATACCTATGTCTATATTTTTTTTTTTTAAGTTACAAAAATTTTATTATTTTATTTTTTATGAAAAAAAAAAATAATTATATTATTATATTATTAAATTTGCTTATAATTCATCTTTGACAGATTTCTTTGAAGCTTTCTTTTCTTCTTTCTTTTCTTCTTTTTTATCTTCAGTCTTAACTAATTCTTCTTCGGTGGCTTCTTCAGTTTCTTCAGCTTCTTCAGTTTCTTTGGCAACTTTTTCAGCTTCTTCTTTGGCTTTTTTAGCTTCTTCAGCTTTTTTCTTTTCTTCTTCAACTCTTTTAGCTTCTAATTCATCAAACATTTTCTTTTCACCTTCTTGTTGGTTAACAAAGGTCTTTTCTGAGAATTCTTTAGCTTCTTCGAGTGAATCAGAGATAAAGAAGTTGTTAAAGATGGTACCGGATTTAACTTGCCATAATTCGAAACCAATGTAGTTTAAGTTATCGAATTTGTAGATTTCTTTGTCATCTTTGTATTCTGGATTGTCAATTAATGGATGGACCCATTCACCTTTGTATTCTGGGTTTGGAATCTTTTTAGCTTTCCATTCACCTTTGTATTCTGGGTTGGCAATGGTTGGGGCTTCCCATTCACCATCATCTTCATCATTCCAATCTTCTGGTTTGGCAGCTTCTGGATCAACAATGGTAGCTGGAATAGTATCGTAATCAGCTGGTTTAACATCGGCTGGATCATCGATTTCTTTGACATCAACCCAATCAGCTGGTTTGCTTTCTTTTGGATCTTTAATTTGTTTTGGGGCAAGAACTTCCCAATCTTCAGTGATGGAACCACTTTGGACTTCTTTGTTATCAATGAGAACTTTGTAGGTATTGTCTGGTGACATAACAAAGGTATATTGATGGGTTAATTGATCAACTGGTGGGTTGGTGATTTCTTTTTTGATTAAATGGTTTTTACCATTGTAGTTAATAATAAAGTGAACTTTCTTTGAACCAGCGCAGGTATCGAAACCAAGCATAAGAGCGTATTCAGAGTCACCATTGAATTCTTTTTGATTGAGACCGCTTGGTAAAACTTTAATGTAAGCACCACCACAATCCATTTTATTTTCCATTTTAACAGTGTATTGAACAACTAAATCTTTATCTTTATTGCTAAAGGCTGGGAATTCAGCTGAGGCAGCGTAGAAACGAGCATCTTCACTAGTTTGGATACCTTTTTTGCTATCATCGTTGTACCATTTACCAGCAGTGTGAACTAATTTACCAGCTCTACCATCATCTTTGTGCCAATCTGAAATGACCCATCTTGATTCCCAATCACCTGTAAAAAAAAAAAAAAAAAAAAAAATTTTAAAAAAAAAAAAATGAATTTGTTAATATACACAATATTTGGGTGGTGTTTTTGAATTTTAGATTTAAAAAACCAAAACTTTAAAAAATATTTATAAATAATTATTATTAAACTTACCATCAAAAGAGTCTTCAAAGTAAACTTTGGCGTTGACTAAGCCTAATAAAACTAAAACTAATAATAATAAAAGTCTCATTATTTGTTGTATATATGTTAAGTTGAAATTAAAAATAAAAATTTAGAAAAAAAAAAAAAAATTTATTTTCAAAAAAAAAATTATAAAAAATTATAAAAAATTTTAAAAAAAAAAAAAAAAATATTTGTGCGTCATCAATAGAAAAAATTTTAACTTTTTTTTTTTTTTTTAATAAATTTTAAAAAAAATTATTTATAACTTTTTAATTTAAAAATGGAAATTAAAAGACAAATGTAATAGTGGTTAATTTTTTTTACAACCATTTTAAATTATGTATTAAAATTTTGATTGTTTTCTATTGGACTTTGATGAGTCATTGTTTAGTTTTTTCAACCACCATTTTTTTTATTTTTTATTTTTTATTTTTTTTTTATTTTTTATTTTTTATTTTTTTTCCTTTTTTAACAGATTGTTGAAATACAAATAGTGTTTGTATTTTTTTTTTTTTGAGATATAAATTAAATGGTATCGAAAAAAAAAAAAAAAAAAACAGTGTCAACTAAAAAATAGTTTTGTTAAATAACAAATATTACTATTTATTATATTTATTAATTATTGTTTTGTTGTTGTTAATGTTACTATTGTTTTTAAGTTCATATAATTATGATTATGATTATTATTGTTGCAAATTGAATATTTTTTTTAATTTTTTTAATTATTTTTTAATATTTATTTATTTGTAAAAAATAAATGTTGGTGGGAATTTGGACCAAGATTATGGAATTCATTAAATGCTTTTTCGCTTTCTTTACGATTTGAAACAGTTGAAATGTTATTGTTTAACATTTCTAAACGAAGGAGTAAACCATTGGTAGAGTTTTGGAAATCTTGACCAACTTGCATAGTCTTTTCAAAGGTTGTTGTTCTTTGATCGGCTTTCTTTGCAAAGAGACGTTTATTATGAGAATCGATACGAGCTTGAATATCACCATCCATAATTAATTTACTGATTTCTCTTTCTAAATGTGGAACAGTAGTATTGAAAGCAGTTGCCATAATATTTAAATCTACAGATACATATGGTGAAAAGTATTGAATTAAAGCTTTGCTTCTAATTTTTTGATATAAGCTTTCAACGTGTTTATGAAGGTGAATATCTAAAAGTAATATTGGTTTCATTTTATCGAGTGTTTTTAAACAAGAGCCATATTTAGTGTTGTAGAAATCGTTGATTAATTCTCTAAGTTCTGGTACTAATTCTAAATAGTTTTTAAACATTTGATCGTCGATAACTTTTTTTTTTAATTCGTTTCTATCAAATGAGGCCAATGCACATAAACCACCATAATATGCAATATCTTGTGGTGACATAATCTATAAAAAAAATTAATGGTTATTATTAATATGTGTAAAATAAAATAAATAATTATTTATATTGATGCCTACATCTGAAAAAGTGTTTGATTGTTCGAATGGTGTTTCAATGAATTTCTTAGCGGCTACTTTATATCTATTGCTATCTAAATTGTGTAAACCATTGACTGAACGAAGTTTAGCAATTGAAGTATTATCTAAATCTGGACATTGTTCAGCTTTGGCAATATATGATGGTGCATGAGTGTAGTTTTGAGTATCGACACCTAATTTAATGATATTGAAACACATGGTTAAAACATGCTTTGATGTTGTACAATAATCTCTAGTTCTAATAAAACATTTAATGGCATTTTGAGTATCACCTAATTTATAATAAAATTCACCTAAATCGTTTTGAGCAAACTATTTTTTTTTAAAAAAAAGTGTTAGTATTTAAAATATTATTTTTTTTTTTAATATTTTTAATATTTATAAAAATATTTATTATTATATTCTATACATACACGAATGGCATCTTTAATCATATTTGATTTTGCGGTATTTAAATCTAATTCTAATTTATCTAAATGTGAGGCATTCTTTTTATTGAGAGCTTCGATATATGATGGATCAATTTCGAGGATACCATGTGATTTACTGACTATAGTATTGTATAATTCTAAGTTTGGTGTTTTTTGAACTTCTTTAAGGGCTTGTTTAAAAGCTTCGACTTCTAATGGTTTGCAACTTTCAGCAATAAAAAGTAATCTATAAATTTTGGTGAAACCTGTATAATTGTTAATGTAAGCTTCTAAATCAAATTCATTTGAAATTGATTGATGATTTGATACTGATGATGATGATGATGACCCTTTCTCAACTTCCATATCCTCCATTTTGTTATTGTTATATTTAGTTGGTTGTGATATTAATAAAAAAAAATTTTAAAAAAAAATTAAAAATATAAAAAAAAAAAAAATTAATTTGAAATATTGAAAAAAAATAAAAAAAAATAAAAATTTTTATATTAAAAAAAAAATAAAAAATTTTAGGAAAAAAAAAATAAATAAAAAAAAAGAAATACAAAAATAAATATCTGTAATATTTTACCTATAATTCAAATTGGGTTTTTTTTTATTAAAGAAATTGTTTATTTTTTATTTTTTTTTAATTCTTATTGATTGAAATTTTTTTTTTTTTTTTTTTTTTAAATTGGTTTGATTTGACCAAATTGATTTGTTATTTTTTTGATTTTTACTTTTTAATATAATTTAAAAAATTGTTCTTTCTAAACATTGAGGAATACCGTTTTTAACAATACATTGAGAACCTCTACTACATTCTACATAGTCACATAATGAGGCACATCTTTGTTCATTCAAGAGACAAATTTCATTATGTTTACATTGAATAAATGGACCACATTGTACACCTGCTTCTTCTTCGCTTGAATCTTCCCAACCTGGACGTACACATGATGGAATATATGGACAACATTTGGAATTTGGACCACTTCCTCTTGGGCATTTGTTTGGTACAATATGGCATGATAAACTACCACATTCAACATCACGACAGGTAAGGCAGTGTGATGGTGGTGGTGGTGATGGAGCTTTAACACAGGTTGGAACGTTGCTAATTAGTGTGCACATATAACCTGGTGGACAACGTAAATCACGGCATTGGTGGGCTGGTGGTAAGGGTTTTCTTATACAGGTGGTTTCTCCATTGATAATTTTACATACATGGAATGGTGGGCAAGTTACATTGTGACATTGATGATCTGGTGGTGGACGTACACAATGAGCTTCACCGTGCCAGTTAACTTCGCAATCATATCCTGGTGGGCAGTGTTTTCTTAAACATTCTTCATGTGTTGATTCAACACAATTAGCTTGACCATCAAATTCAATACAATTAAAACCTTTTGGACACGAGACTTTATCGCAAAGACACTCTGGTTTTGGTGGTGGGTGTGGTGGACGAGTATGTGGTGGACGGGTGTGTGGTGGACGATGGTGTTTAGGGACACAGATGGCAGCATTTTCTTTATTAACAATACATTCTTTATCTTGTTCACATTTAACACCATCACATAATGAATGGGGGTGTGGATGTGGGTGATGAGTATGTGGTGGTGGTGATGTTGGTGGTGGTGGTGGTGGATGAGGTTTTTCTACACAATAAGCTCCACCATGAATTCCTTCACATACATATCCATCTGGACAAAGTACATTCTTACATACATCTTGGTTACCACCACCATTATTATCAGCACTACATTCAGCAAAACGTGGGCAGCAACTAGTACCCATACATGGTACTGGTTCTTTCCATTGACATGATCCACTTTTAATTAAAAAGTTATAAGTATTTTATAAAAAGACGTAGTAATAATGTTTTATTATACATACCCTCTTGATTCACAAGATTTTTGGTCACAAGTTGAGTTTAATGGTTTAAAATCTACAAGTTCTGGTAAATTTGGTCTACATTGACTCCATAATTCATAAATAGCATTTGATTTGGTATCTTGAACACATGTTAGAGGAGCATTTCCACATCCACTACCATTATCTTTGACACAAAAGAAACGTTTTACACCACAACATGAAACAAATGGTAAATATTGGCAACCTGAACCTGGAGCTTTACATTCGTTTTCGCTTAAATAATCACAACCTCTTGGTGGTGGTGGAGATGGGTGTGGATGCCAATCACCACCTTCTCCCCAATGCTGGGCCTCTTGTTGAAGTTTTTGAACATCTTGATTTTGACCGTTTTGAATTTCATCTGCAGCTAAAGCAGCAGAAGAAAAAGAAAGCAAAAGTGCAAAACTAATAAACTTTTTATATATTTTCATAATATTTACTATATTATATATTTTTTATAAAACAATGATAGTTTATTATTATTGGGTAATAAATGAAATAATATTTTATATTTTAAAAAAAAAAAAATTGTTTAAATAAATTTTAAAAAAAAAAATTAAATTAAATTAAAATATAAATTAAAATAGAAAATAAAAATAAAATTCCAAATTTGTTTTTTAATTAATCAAATTAGTAATGAATAATTCAATTTCTTACTCTGGGTGGCAACTGAATTTTTTTCATATGTATTTATTTTTGATTAAAAAAAAAAAATTAAATAAATTTGAAATTAACAATATTATATATAGATTAAAACAAAAAAATATAATTGAATTTTGCAAATATAAATATAGTAATGAGAGAGATATAATAATTTTTTTTATTTTTACTTTAAATATAATTGGAGAAAATTACAAATGAATATATATGGAATGTAATTACAAAAAGTCTTATTATAATGCCAATATATCTCTTTGTATCGTGGTTTTTCATTGATAAAAACAATGATTTAAAATAAATAATAATTATATGAACAATGTTATTATAATTGATTTTTTTTTTAAAAAAATTTTCACCCCTTTTTTCTATTTCAACACTAACTAACTTTTTAAATCTCAATACCCACCTTTTCATATAATCTATACATTATTTCACTCACCCACTCAAAAAAATAAAAATTAAATATTATTTTTTTAGAATACATTTATATGTAAATTTTTTTTTTTTTAATCACCCACCCCCCGTTAAAAATAATTTTTTTCTTGATTATAATTTTTCTTTCAAATTCAAAAAGAAAATAAAGTGTGCGAAAAGTATAATATATATTTTAAACAATTTAACAACACAAAATAATATCCTAAATATTTCAATTTTTTTAAAAAAATATTTAGGTACTAATATTATATATGAGAAAAAAAAAAAAGCAATTTTTTTGATAAAATTAAAAAAAAATTTTTTAAAAAAATTCCAATTTTTTTTTTTCAAATACCCCATTATAAAAACATAAACCACAATAATTATCACTTTAACATCACATTATTGCACATAATAGTTTTATACTTTTATATGTAAAACAAACATGACTGATATTCAAGAAATAAAAAAGGTAAATATAATTTATTAAATTATTAAATTGTTAAATTATTAATATCTTTTCATTTTTTTTAATAAAAAGTTTGGTATAGAAATTTTAAAGAAAAGGAAATCAAACGAGGATGATGAATCCAAAATTATGTTTTTTGGTTTGGCTGGTAGTCACTCCTTCAATTTAAATGTCGAAACTAGCGATAACGATTATTTTGGAGTTTATGCTACAGATATCGATGAGGTTTTATCAAACGATATAAATAACTCGATTATAGATGGCCACACTCCAGAGGATTATGTAATATTCGAAGTTTCATACTTTTTAGAATTACTTAATAAAGGAAACCCAAAATTAATTGAGCCTGTATTTTCAAATAGATTTTGTTATAAATCTCCACAATGGGAGTCATTAATGAAATTTAAAAAGAGTTTTATCACTAAATCGGTAATCTTTCATTATATTAGCTATAGTAAAAGCCAGATGGGTGACGCTACAAAAATAATTTTCAACAATAGTCAAACCGAACAAACCGAAGACCAGAAAACTTTGCTCTTAAATATGATTAATAGTAATCACAATTACCACAAAAAGCTTTATCACACCTATCGTTTACTCTTGGAAACTAAAAGAATGTTGACTAATAAAGAACCAGTTGTATTTTTAGAGGGTGAGGAGCGTGAAAAAATTATGAATATTCGTATGGGTAAAGAGGACATATCAACAGTATTAAAAGAAATATCACAGCTATTCAAAGAGTGTAAAGAATTAGAAGAAAATTTAAAGGATGACCAATTACCAGAAAGTTTAGATATTAAAATCTTAAACGAATGGTTAATTCAAGTTAGAAAACAAAGTTATATTAAAAAAGAAGCTGAATTTCCAACTGTAAAATATACTGATGCCGATTTTGAAATTAATGATATTAAAAACTATAATCTTTTAAAGGTTTATAATCACTTTCAATCATTATTAGAAAAACATAATCTTCAAGGATCTAAAATTCTAATGATCAATAAATCTGGTTCAACATCTCACAATCTAGTTGCTCAGGATGAAATTGATAACTTAGATAAATCTGAAGATTGGATTGGTGTTTATGTGGCTCCAACTGAAAAGTTATTTTCATTATATCCACCACCAAGACGTATTGATTCAAACACACCAATTTCTACTGTTTCAAAGATTGAGGAACCAGAGGATTCATCAAACCAAAGGGATACTTATTATTCAGGCCACCAATTGTTCGAGTTAGGTTATTTCATTAATCTTTTATCTTCTGGTAATCACCGTGCTATCGAGTGCATTTATGGGGCTGAACTTGGTGATACATTAGAAACCAAAATATGGAAAGAGATTAAAGGATTGGACATCAATTATTTAACAGTTAATTTAATGCATCATTGTTGGGGTATTTCTAAGGGTTTAATCGAGAAGATTCAAAAGAACCAAGACCATTTCCCACTATCAGAGAAGCGTAAATTACTTTATCATGCCCAAAGACTAATCAACAGAGCTGAGGAGATTTTAAATAAATCACAATATACTGTATACTTGGATGAAGATGATAATAAAGAGGAAAGAGATCTCTTATTAACAATTAAAAATTCACAAGATTTCGATTCCGCTCAATTAAATTCATTATTAAATAGCTGTTCAAATAAAATTAAATCTGTTGGTGAGGAAATTCAAAAACTACAAAAAATTTCGGCAAAGGATAAAAAGAATAACGAAATCAATATTAAAAGCTCCTTAAAACAAAGTTTAATAAAAGTTAGGAAGTCAATGATTAAAATAGTTATTTAATTAATTAATCATAGTAAAAATAAAAATAAAAATCGATTTTTATAAGTATTTTATAGAAATATTTAACTATTTATTTCTTTAATTAAACTATCAATATATTCAATATCTAGATTTAAAGATGACATAATTTTGATTGAATCCTTTGTTAATCTATTGCTTTTAATTGTTGGGAAAATATCATTTACAATGTAATTGCCTGATCCCAATTGACAAGGGGCCATTTCACATACCACTAATTTATCATATTCATTGGATTTATCAATAAGTTCAATTATTTTTTCATAACTTTGTTGTATATGGCAAGGATTTCTTATATTTTCGTACAAATGATTTTGGTCATATTTATAATTTTCATTAAAATATTTTAAATTTGCACAAGATAAAACTGGAATTGTGGGTAAATTTGATTTTATATCTAATGATAGAACATCATTTTTAGTTGCATCTTGAACACTGCAATGGAATCTAGTACCCAAACTCATTGATGAATATTTTATCCCATCCTGTTTTAGTCTATTTTCTAGATCTATAATTTCATCATTTTTACCTGATAAAACAAAAGCATTAGGTGAAATATATAGAGACTGCTCTAATGTGTTATAAAGATTTGAATACTTATTATCATAAATATTTTTATTGCAAAAAATACCAATCATTTTTCCTTCTTTATCTAAAGTATCATTTAAAAGTTTTGCTCTTAAAAAAACTATATCACAAGCTGTATCTAAATCTAAAACCCCACTTATATACAATGAAGAAATTTCACCGCAACTAAAAGAAAAAAGTGTTAAAAAATAAAAAAATATACCATAGTTAATAAATCTTACCTTATTCCCATTACCATAGACGGTACTATTCCTTTTTTTTTATAAAGAGAAAAGAGTGATACTTGAAACATAAATAACATTGTGTGAGTAAAAAATTGATCAGTTTCAATATAATTACTATCATTTTTTTTTAAAGCTTTTTCTAACATTGAGAAACCAAAATATTTATTTTTCATTTTTTCATCCAAAAAATCCATTGTCTTTCTAAACTCTTTTTCTTTAAAATACAAAGATAAATTTTCTTTTGTCCATTTCTATAAAAAAAAAAGATATTTTTTAATTTTTTTTTCACATTTTTTTTCTTTTTTAATATACTTACTATTATCTGGCCACAAAAAACTATTAACAAAAATGTTTTCATTAATTATATATTATATTTAATGCAGAATAAAAAAAACTTTATTTTTATTTTAAATACAAAATAAAAAAAATATAAATTTTTTAAATATAAAATTTAAAAACAAATAAATTATAATTACAGATAAAATTTTTTTTTTTTATTTAAAATTTTTTTTTTTTCTTTTTAAAGATTAAATCTCTTTTTTTCAAGAAATAATTTATTTATATTTTTAAATCTCTTTTATACATTCTTTAAAGAAAACCAATTTTTATTATTAAAACTTTTTTTTAATTTTTTTTTTAAAACAAAAAATAAATTAAATATTAATTTGTAAATAGGGTAAAGATAATTTAGTTTTAAAAGATTTATTTCAAAACAATGTTAACAAAACATTGAATTTTTTTTATAATTTATTAGGAAAAAGCATTTATTATGAATTCATAAAAAACAATTTATCTTGGGAATCTTGGTTGATGATTCCGTCTTTAGAAGTTTTATCAGTTAATAAGGTTCAGACTTGATAAATATTTGTTGACGATTTAGTTAAATTAATAATAATAAAAACACATCACAATCGATCTCTAAAAGTTAGCAAATATAAAATTGAATAAAAATTTCAAAATATTTTTAAATACCCACTTTGACAATAACAAAATTAAACATAATAAAATAAAAATAATTAAAAACTAATAAAATAATTATATATAAAATTTTTTATTTAAAATTCTCTTGAAGTATTTTCGGCAATTTTAGAATCTTGATCGATTTGATGTCTAACAAGAAGTGTATTAAGTTGGTTGTAACGATTTGCATTTAAGAATAGTGGTCTGCCTCTTCTTAAATTTGGATCTTCTTCACCATGGTCATCTAAATATGGGGATATCCAGAAAGTTTTTCTTGGGATGTGAATTAAAAGAGTTGAGCTAGTTTTGATGAGTAAAAAGATACCGGTACCTGCATTACATCTTTCAGCATGTAAAATACATTCACTCTTTTGATCAAAGAATCTCTTACAACATCCACCTAAACAACATAATGTACCACAAATTAAACAAACTGCTTGGTTACTTGAAATGGTTTTACATTGAATACATGGGATTAATGAATAGTATTGAGAGACTGCGTTGTATTGTTCTGGGAGTTTAATTAATAAAAATGGATTTGGGATAATTGGTGATGGTAAAATCGATGGTTTTTTAACTGGTACTATTTGTTGATTGTTATTTGGTGTGGTGGTAGTTGTGGTGGTATTAGTTTCATTATTACTGTCCTCAACACTTGAAGAAATTGCTGAAACAAATAATAATTGTTCTACCCAAGCTGAAACCAATGGTACTTTTTCAGAATGAGAAATAAGACTGTTTAGGATATCGGTAGCTTGGCCATCAAATTCTGGGAGATTTAAATAGTTAACCAAATAATTTATTTCATTTTCTAATGAGAGGTCGGCGATACTAATTGAAATTGGATCAGTTTTAAGACAAGAGAAAAGGAATAATGAGAGTCTTCTTAAAAAGACTAAACAATTACTCTTAATGGCTGTAAGGTGTTCGGCTGGAATTGATTGGACTGGAGTAACGGTTTCACGGGTAGCTGAGATGAGATTATTTACACTATTAATGAATGAATCTGAAGATTCAAAAGTTGGATCTGTAGTCTTGAATTGTTGAAGGATTGATTGGGTGATGGAGGCATCATAAAACATTCTGGCAACCATATAGAATTTTTCAACGTTGATTTGTAAATCAGTGTCGGCATATCTAATGAATACTTGAACAAAAGTATGGAAAAGATCCAATGAAAGGAGTGGTGGGAAAGCTTCACCATAAACACCTTCATTATATATTTCTGGGTATTCACGTGGTTGTGGTTTTTCTTTCTTTTCTTTTTTGTCTTTGGTAGCAGCAGCAGCAGCAGCGGCAGCCTCTTCCTCTTTTTTTAATTTTTCTTCCTCTTCTTCTGGAGTTGGTAATAATTGGGTTTCATGTGAACCAGAGATTGATTGCCATAAAAGTTTACCTTGATGTTGTTGTACTGGATAGAGATGTGAATGAGCAATAAGATATCTAAAGAGTGAACGAATATCAATACGATTGGAATCAGACATCTTAAAGAGTGGGTATTCATTTGGATTAACGGATGCATCTGGATCTGGAACACGAATGGAAAGTTCTGTACCTGCGATAGTTGAGGTTAGGGCCGAATTTAAGAAAGGTGATACAGTTGAATCTGATTTTGATGAATAGAAATCTAGGTTATATCTAACACCATATATTCTAGTGGCAAATTGATCAATTGGTTGTCTGAGATTTCTAAGTGACTGTGGAGATGGTGAGTCCATAAGTTTCTTGTATTGTTCATCTTTACCTGTAAGTCTTCTACCTAATGAATGATAAAATTCTGAATATGGAACAAGCTCTTTATTTTTTGAATTTTCTCTTGCCATTTTTGGTGTAATAACATGTTGACAATGTAACTCATTTTGGAAGCTTGAATCAGGGACTACTGGAACAATGGCATTACCTATTCTTCTACAAAGGACGCAAAGGAATTCGTTTTTATCTGGATTAACTAATTCACCACCTTCATTATTTTTGATTAATGACCAAGCATATTCAGAAAAACAACTATCATGGATTTGGTGACCACAGAATGAAAGATTAAGATTGACTGATTCTTCAGTATTTCTAAAGATTTCTTGTTTACTAAATTTATTAGACCATGGGTTACCAGTGAGTGGTTCTGTAGTTGAATCATATTTGAGGAAAACATTATTATCCATATCGTCAAATGAATTATTATCAAAGAAATCATCAATATCATCTTCATCCTCATCCTCTTCTAAAATACCCATATCATCTGATTCATCCGATTCAATTGAAATAATTTCTGGTTGAGCTGTAGTAGTTGTAGTGGTTGTAGTTGTGTTATTATTGTTGTTATTGATATTATAGTTATTATTATTATTATTATTATTATTATTATTATTATTATTATTATTATTATTATTAATATTATTATTATTATTATTATTATTATTATTATTATTATTATTATTATTATTATTATCAGTTGTTCTATCAATACGAACACTAACATTATGATCTCCTTGTGATACCTGATTAATGAATGATTGTAAATCAAAGTTTGGAACTACTCTATTGTTAGCTCTGGCTTGAAAGTGAATTGTTGGATTACCAGTAGAAATTTGACTTTGAAGCTCGTTAAGAATATTATTACTATTTTGATTAGTTGGATTTATTCTTTGAAGAGCTCTTAAGAGTGATTGGGCTAAATCATTGGAGAATTGATTTTGTATTGGAGTTTGTGGAATACCATGGGTTTGAACACGACGGGAAGCAGCATGATTGGTTAAACGTCTGGATAAGAGGTCAAGGGCATCGTCTTCATTTTCAAAATAGGTATCGAAATCTTCTAATTCTGCATCGCTTTCAGCATCATCGTAACCAAACTCGTCGTCTGATTCATCGATAAGTGAATCGCCTGAATCTGAATCGGTTTCTCCATCAATCTCTTCATTTTCGTCTTCATCTTCATCATCGTCATCCATTTCATCTTCATCGTCATCGTTATCATCATCACCTTCGATTTCCATTTCTTCACCAAAACCAAAGAAATCGTTTGCATGTGAAACACGGTTAAGGAAAGAAATAGCCTTACTAACTTCATCTTCACTATCATCTTCTTCATCGTCACCAGCCATGATATCAGCATCAGCAATATCTTCATCGTCCATTTCATCTAGACCGGTATTAATGTAATCAGCTAAACCACCAACACCAACACCAATTGGATTAACAATATTATGATTTTCGGTTTGATTAGCAAGACCATTATTTTCACCACGACTAACTCTTGATTCGTTATTTTCACCAACATTGTTATTGTTGTCATTATTGTTATTATTAATGTTTGCATTTGAAACTGGGGAAGTACCACTATCTACTAAATCCTTTTTAATGGCCTCTGTGATACGGTGTTTTCTTTCTTCTGGTGTGAGTTTTGAAAGCATTAAAATTGAAGATGGTTGAATGAAAGCAACTCTACCCATTGGACGGTCAATTGAACCTGGTTCACGGCAAAGAGCACAAGTAGTAGTTGATTCATGGCCATCAACAACAAGTGCATTAGATTCTTTTGGTTTTTTATCTTGTTTATTATCTAAATCTTCATCTTCGTAATCCTCATCACCTTCTTCAAATTTGAAAGCAGATTGTTGTGATTTCATTTGAGCAAGGATAGCTGCTTGTCTAGCACGAGCTAAACGTTTCTTTTCTTCTTCTGGATCTTCTTTACGGGATGATTGTGGTTGTTTTTTGGCTTTAATTGCTGCCCAATAATTTTCGACGGTTTGTTTACAATTAAAGTTATTTTCCATAAGAGTATTAATGATATTTTGAATATGTTGTTTTTGATCGGCATTGACTTGTTGGGATGATGTTAATTTAACCAAAAGAATAATTAATGATAATCTTTTTTGTTCAGAAACTTGAATATCAACAGAGGCATTAATGAAAATATTTTTCTTTGATGGGAATTCAATTTCGCTATAGCTCTTTGGAACGCTGGTTGATGTATTAAAGTTTTGTGAAGCAGATTTAGAGAGTTTGCTTGGTGTTGGAATAGTCATTGGGGCGTCAGAAGCTTCAGCTTTTAATTCAAAATTGTTTAATGCTTGATTAATACTGAGATCTAAAGCATGAAGAGCATGGGTAAAGAGTGTATCGGTTGATTTAGCACTATCAACTAATTGATTTTGTAAAATTGTGAATAAAATTTGATGTAAAACTTTTGAGCATAAAATTGTATTGAGGTCTTCTAAACATGGTAATGTTGGATAATTAATATAGGTACCTCTAGCGATATTGGTTTTGGTTTTATTGGTAAATTCGCTGTATCTTTCCTCAGCACTTTGAATATCTTGAGTATTATAATGTGCAAAATATGGATCAAACTCACTCCAAAATTGTTCTTTTAATTGATATTTGCCTTGTTCAGTCTATAAAAAAATTATAAATAATTAATATAAGGATTAAAAATACATGTTTAAATAAAATTATAAATCTATAATTACTTTTTGTGGAGTTTGGAAAGTTGAGATTTCTTTTAATATATTTTCAAAATTTTGATGATGAACCAATTTCTTTTTGATTGCTTTGGTTAATTGAGAGTGAGTACTATCGCCCAAACATAATCTATGAATAAGTTCTTTTCTGATGATTTGGTCCTCAGTCATACCACACATAAGTTTATTTGTAGCCAACATAATAATACATTGGAGGAAATCCTCTGAAAGACTCTTTTTCTTTTGAAGATTCTCTTCAATTTTTTGTTTCTCTTTTCTAATTTTCTTTTCCTCTTTGGTTTCTTTCTTTTCTTGATCTTTACCTTTTTCTTTTTCCTTTTCCTTTTCTTTTTCCTTTTCCTTTTCTTTTTCTTCAGTTGTAGTTTTAACCCCACTTGAACTTTGTCTAAGTGATTTGGATGGAGTTGATGGTGGAATAATTGGTGTACCATCAATTGATTTATTTAAATTGGTATATTCAATTTCAAACCAATCTTCTAAATTGTAAATATTGAGAGCATGATTTAAAAATTGATTTGAACCCATTGTGACAGCACCAATTTGAACTAAAAATATATCGAGATCATAGTATTTTTGATAATGAAGACTTTGATAAATAATAGTTTGAAGTGACATATCCTCTTCTCTTCCGTGTGCTTTCCACATGCCTGATCTAATTTCACCCAAGGATGCTAAAATCTTAAATGGATGATATGATGAACCTTTGGCATAGTCAGAAATTGAAATAAGAGAATCTTGACCAATAATTTGTGAGAACAATGCCTTTAAACCACCTTGACTCTTAAACTCTTTTCCTAAACTACTATTGATACATTTGAATAATATTGCTGATACAACTCTATGTAATGGCAAGTGGAATGAAAATCCCTCACGTTTGACATGAAGTGATAGTAACTGTTTAATATTATTTAAATAATGTGATTCAGTGGTTGATTTCTCTGTAGTGGTAGTAGTAGTGGTGGTTGTTGATTGTGAACTATCTTTATCAGATTTTTCATTGTCTTCTAAAAGTTGTTGTTGTTTTTGTTGTTTTTCAATTAAATAGCCATTTCTATATTCTAACCAACCTAAAATCCATTTACCTAAATATTGTGTACTAAATAATAAGAATTGATCTAAACTTGCTTTGTCTAATGGGATAGCATTAATGATGGGGAAAATTGTATTTGAAAAACTAATATCAACATTGAAAGGTGGCACCCAATCATCAGTATTAGTTCCACGAGTTTGAATATTTGGATTCATACCCTGAGCAATACCAATAACGTTGAACCATAATGATAGTAATTGTTTAGATTTGATAACACTACTTGCAACGCCACTGTTGCCAAGAATAAAACTAATATCGGTTCTTAAGATAGAAACAGCCTGTGGTACTTCATAAAGTTGAGTTATTTGTTTATATTGTGGATATAGGTAAGATTCTTTAAAGTGCTCTTTCTTTTTCTTATCGCCTCTAATATAGAAAAATTTATAAAAGAATTCATTGATGGTTTCCATTACGATTTCGGCAGCGTTCTCTTGTAATAAAAGATTTCCCATAGCAGTTGATGAAAAAATAGAGTATGAAGTGAGCAAAATGTGTTTTTTACTTTCAGTGATGCATTTCTTGTAGATTGGTAATATTAGTTTAATGAATGATTCGATGAATTCAACAGAACCACGAAGGAAAACACAAAAGTTTGCAATAGTTTCTTTCATTGAACGAGATACTGATTGGTGGAGATCTGGTGAATAGAAAAGTTGAATTAATGGTGTTGAGAATGGTGATGGTGGAAGAAGATGAGTGTTGCCAATATCGGTATTTGAAATATATTTGATTACTACGACTTTAATAATATCACCACGTTGTGCCATCTTTAATAACCAATCCATAAATGAGTCAAATAATAAAGTGTTGTCCTTGTCATAGAAAATATATATCTTTTTTAATATGAATTGAACTACAAAACTCATTGCTAATATGAATCTTTCTGGATACTTTGTTACGTCAATTTTTTGTTCTTTATGTCTTGTACAAAAACCACTTGGTTTGAATGCTGTTGGGTCACCACAATCACAAAAACCACCTCCAACACTTTGTAAAGCATCTATTTGAGAAAAAAAAATCGAATTAGTATATTTTGTTTTATGGGTTTTTATTATTATTTTAAATACCTACAATCGTGACCCTCATGATCACCCTCTTTGAAACATGCTGTGCATAATGCAGAAGTTGGATCTAATTGACAGGTTCTACATTTATAAGCAGTATCACCAAATGACCAAGTTGTTTCGCAAGCCCCAAAATTCAATAATTTTCTATCTGATAATTCTTTAAAAAATGTTTCTGGTTTTTCGGTACCAGTTACAATTTTCATACAAATATCTAAAAACTCTTTATAATGGGTTGGTTCATCATCTTTCCAGATTTTAGTTAGATAATCGATAATTGAATTTGGGTTATTATTTAAATATTCTAAATCTAAATTAAAATTCATTTGAATAAATTTTAATTATTATATATTTTATGTTATTTACTATTACGTCTATTTATTTATCTATTATTATTATGATTTCTAAGTAATTATTTTTTTTCCTACTGATTATTTAAAAAATTTTTAAAAAAAAAAAAAACGAAAAAAATAAAATACAAAAAATAAAAAATAAAATAAATTTGTGATATATAATTAATTTAATAATAAAAAAAATTAAATAATAAAAACACACAAATTAAGTAAATATTGTATTTGTATAAAATAAACAATGATAATTTATATTTAACAATTACAAAATATTTATAAAAATAATAAAAAAAATTTTTTTTGAAAAATTTAAAAAAATTATAAAAAATAAAAAAAAAAAAAAAATGAAAAAAAAATAAAATTAAAAAAAAAAAAAAAAAAAAAAAAAAAAAAAAAATTTAAATTTTCCTTTTTTTTACTATTTGATTAATGATATTTAATTTCCCTTTTTCTTTCTTTCTTTCTTTTATATATTTTTTGGATTTATAAAAAAAAAAAAAAAAAAAAAAAATTCAGGTTTATAAAAGCAAATTAATTGAATTGGTAGAATTAAAAAAGACTTTCTGGAAAATTTGTTTTAAATTTATAATATATATGGTTTTTTTTTTATTATTTTTTTTTTTTTTTGACTCTTATATAAATCTTTTGATCAAATTATTTTTAATTCTAAAGATATAATATTTATCGTATTTAAAATTTTTTTATTGTATGAAACATGAACAACAGCCCCTCTTCTTTGGTGTGATGAGTGGTATTTTTTCGTTTGAAGCTGGTGGGAGTGGTGGTGATGATGGGGCTTTGGTTGGGGTTGGGTTAACATTGATTTCAGTGTGTTGTTTAACTGGTGTAGTATTGATTGAGGTTTGTTGTGGTTGTTGTTTGATTGGTGTTGATGGTTTTTCATTAATTTGTGATGATGAAACAACAACAGAGGCTGGTTCTTGTTTTTCTACAATTTCTACTTTAGTTTCTTTTGGTTCATTAATAACTGGCTCTACAACGCTTGATTTAGAGCTTAGTTCCTCGATTGGAACAACAATTGGGGTGGTTGTTGTGTTGGTTTCAACTTTGACAGGTTCATCAACGGCTTGTTCTTTAATATCTGGCTTAATTTGTTCATCAACTTTTACTGGTTCAACAATTTGTTGAGCTGATTCTTCTTTATCTTCCTTTACAACAGTTTCAACAACAGGTTCAATAACTGGTTCTTCTTTAATTTCTGGTTCTTGATTAGTTGTAGTGATTGGCTCAGCAATTGGTTCAACAATTGGCTCAGCAATTGGTTCAACAATTGGCTCAGCAACTGGTTCAGCAATTGGTTCAGAAACTGGTTCAATAATTGGTTCAGCAACTGATTCAGCAACTGGTTCAGTAATTGGTTCAGTATCAATAGTTGGTTCAGCAACTGGTTCAGTAATTGGTTCAGCAACTGGTTCAGCAACTGGTTCAGTAATTGGTTCAGTAACTGGTTCAGCAACTGATTCAGCAACTGGCTCAGAAATTGGTTCAGCAACTGGCTCAACAATTGGCTCAGCAACTGGTTCGGAAACTGGTTCAACAATTGGTTCGGAAACTGGTTCAATTATTGGTTCGGAAACTGGTTCATCAATTGGTTCGGAAACTGGTTCAGAAACTGGTTCGACAATTGATTCAGAAACTGGCTCAGTGACTAACTCTTCAGTAACAACAGTAGATGGTTCTTCTTTAATATCGTTTTCAATTTTAGTTTCATCAACAACTGTGTTTGAATCTTCATCCTTAGTTTCATTGTTTGTAACTAATTCTTCTTTAACATCTTGATTAGAAACTAACTCTTCTCTTGTTTCTTCTTTAGTCTGTTCGACGGCCTCTACAACATGTTCAGTTTCTTCGGTATCATTTTCTTTTGTTTCCTCTTCAATACTTTCTTCGCCGCCTAAGGTTGTTTCCTCTTGCTCTTTGGTTGTTGTGGTATTGGAAATGGATTCCTCTGGTTTAATTTCTTCTTGTGAGTTTTCTTCTTGGGATTTGTTTTCAAAGTGTTGTGACCATGGATGTGATTGTTTAATTTCGCTATTATCACTTTGATCCTCTTCATCAGTACTATGTCTAATTACATCGTCATATTCTTCTTCCTCTTCTTGTTGTTGTTGTTGTTGTTGTTGTTGTTCCTCTAATATTAATTGTTCTAATTGTTGTTTTTGATATTGTTCTTCTAATTGTTGTTGTTCCAATTGTTTTTGTTGGTAATATTGAATTTGTCTTTCATCTTCATCGTCTTCATACTCTTCATCATCATCGTCATCTTCATCAAAATCGTCATAGCCTTGATCGTAATCGTGTTCATCTTCGTCGTATTCGTTTTCATCTTCGTCGTATTCGTCATCATCCTCATAGTAAGGTTCATATTCATGATAGGTATTATTTTCTAATTGGAATAAAATATTCTTTTTGGCTGGTTTTGGAACATCTTCTTCATCAGTACTTTCTTCTTCTTCTTCTTCGTCTTCTTCTTCATCATCATCGTCATCTTGTTCATCTTCAAACTCTCTTTGTTTTTGTTGTTCTAATTGTTGTAAATATTGTTGTTGTTGTAATTCATATTGTCTCTTTTGTTCGCTATCATACTCTTCATCATTATTTTCGTGTTGTTCTTCCTCTTCTTGTGGTTGAGATGTTGTTGATTGATAATCAGAGTCTAATGTATTACTGTTACTATTGTCTGAATATGGTCTTGGGAATGATGAATTGCTATCATCGTCATCATCATCATCATCATTATCAATATCATTATTACCATTTGACATACCGATTGGGAGATTTGCTAATCTTGGAGCACCAGTGTTATTTGGAGAATTGGTTTTTAGCTGTTCATCAAAGGTACGAATTGCTGGGAATACTAAATTTGGATCTTGAAGTGATATTTTAATATTTTTAAGAATTGAGGCAATTTCTTTGAATGATGGTCTTTGGGCTGGATCTACTCTACAACAATCAAAAGTGAGTTTAACCAATGAAGCTGGACAATCTTCAGGAATTAATTGATTTCTTACAATATCTTCAGATAATCCAAAATCAGCACCTCTCATATATGGCTGTGGTTTAACTCTTGTGATAATTTCTAATAAAACAATACCAAATGAAAAAACATCAGATTTTTCATCATAATCTTTACCAGTTATCATTTCTGGAGACATCCAATTATCTGTACCACAAATAGTCTAATAGTTTTTAAAAAAAAGAAAAAAAAAAAAAAATATTAGTATAAAAATAATTAAAAGATATTTATATCATAATCTAACAATAGTTTACCATTGATTTATTATTTTCTTCATCGACAATTCTTGCAAAACCAAAATCGCAAACTTTAATTTTCCAATTTCTATCTACTAAAAGGTTAGTTGATTTTAAATCTCTGTGAACAATTGATTGATTGTGAAGGTAGGCCATAGCCAATGAAACATCGTGAGCAATAGAGGCTCTTAAAAACCACGATAACTCGATTGATTTGTTTTTTAAATAATATTGTAAGTCGCCACCTAAATTAAAAAAGTAAATAGTTAATATTTATTATAATGTGATAGGTTTATTATAATTTCGATGCAGTTATAGTTACCTTCAACTAATTCAGTTACAATAAATAAAATACCATTTTTTTCTGAAAGACCAACAAATTGGATTACATTTGGATGAGAAAAAAGTTTGATTGTTTCGATTTCACGGTTTAAAAATTTTTCAAGATCAACACGGTTTGGGTCATCTGGTAAAATTTGAATCTTTTTAATTGCTACAGGTGTACCTAAATATTCGCCTCTATATACTTTACCAAAGCCACCGCTGCCAATCTCTGAATTAAACTCTAAATCGTCGTAATTAATTCTCCATGCCTTATCGAGTGATGGAACTGATGTATCAACTGATGCCATTTCTAATTTGTACTATATTGTTTTATTACAGTTATTGCTATTATAATAGTATTTAAAAATGCTTGTATTATGATTCTCTTGTATTATAAAATTTCTGTGGTGTGTTTATTTTTTAATAAAAAAAAAAAAAAAGTTTTGATTTTTGGTTTTAATTTAAATCTTTATTTTTTTTATTTTTTTATTTTTTAAAAAAACTGTATGTTGTTATTTTGTATTGTGCAAATAAAATTTTTTTATATCTTTCGTGTGGGGGTGTTGATATTATAAAAATTTTATTATGGTTTTTGGGTGGGTGTGTGTGATAATATTACAATTGTTTTAATTCATACATAAATAAGTTAAATAAATAATTGATTATAATTTTTTTTTAAAGAATTACAATTACTAAAAATAAATAAATTATTATAGGATTTATACAAAAAAAAAAATAAAAAAATAAAAAAATAAAAAAAAAATTCTAAAATTTTTAAAAAAAAAAAATTATCTAAAAAATTTAAAAAAAAAAAAAAATTTTAAAAAAAATAATTTTAAATAAATTTTTAAATAAAAAAAAAAAAAGGTATTATTTATATATATTTTGATAATCCTCTTTGGGTGATTAACATATTTTAATAATAAAGGCTACCGGTTTCTATTTTGTATTTAAAAAATTATTTCCTTATTAATACAATTTATGGGTGATTATAAATTTGGTACCATTGTTAATTCTACTTATAAAAGAGAATGATATAAAAAATTTCATAAACAGTTTTTATAAAAAGATATTTCTTTAAAAACTAAAAAACTAAAAATAAAAAATGAAAAATAGAAAATGAAATTTTTTTTTTTTTTTTTTTTTTTTTTTTAAATATTTAATAAATAAATAAAATTATTTTATTCGAATCAATATGATTAATATGAACTATTAATACAATGTGGTGTATTATTAATAAATATCCAATAAAATATTATATATTTAACATGAATTTAAAGTTATAATGTCTGAGTACTTGTTCAAAAGATGCAAGACTACACCGTTTGTCCAACCAAAACCGTTTTGAACAACATATTCACCACCACCACCTGGGGTACCAACATCGTATACATTATATTTTTCAAACATCATTCCACCTTCTGTTTCTAAAGTTGAATTCCATCCACAATAGTTTGTGGTTACCCAACGATTAATTAAGGATCTGCCAATTGCAGTTGAAACAGTTGTGTTGGTGTCCATTAAAAGCTCGATGACAAAGTATTGAAGATTTGGGAATGCACTTGGTAAATCCCATTGTTGATTGGTGTCGATAAGAGATGATGGAATACCTCCTGGGAAGTTTAATAAAACATCAGATAGCTCTTTGAAAATTGAATCGATCTCTTCGTCGTTCATATTGATCTCTTCTTCAATATCTACAAACAATGGTAATAAATTTGAAATATAAAAGTTTTCGTTTAATGTTTGTGTTTCTAAATTGAGATCGAACCATTGTAAATTATTTTCATCCCAAAAAACAGATTGAATTGCAGTTGCTCTTTCTGATGCGGCTTTTTGGTAGAAAGTGGACATTGTGGTATTACCAAAATAATTGTGGAACATTGATAATGTTTTTTCGTTATAGTACAAAATTGAATTTAAATCTACTGGTACGACTTCAATGGTTTGAATAGTGGTTAAATTTGTATTATCTGATTGCGAGAACCAACGTGAACAAAAATCCCAACCTGATTCAGCGCCTGATGTAATTGAGCTGTAATAGAATTTTTGCTCGTCATCACTAGAGAACACTGAGGCACCTGTAAAGTCTTCATAGAATGATTCTGGACGTGGTGTATTGGTTGATACGTTATATAAATTTAAAGTGTATGATCCACCGTCACAAGTATTAATTTGGGTGGTACGATATTTCATAAACCATTGGTATTCAGCATCTAAAATTGGTAAAGTTTCTTGAAGGAATTGGTAGTCGCTGGTTGCTTCAACATATGATTTAACCATAAGAGTATATAATGGTGGTTGGCTTCTATTTAAATAATAAATACGACCACCATTTGGAATGAAACCATACTCGGTAATAATATCTCTAAAATTAGTTAACATTCCTTTTGCAGTTGCAGTCATATTTGAAACCAAAAGACCTTGAATAATCCAATAAGTGTCCCAATAGTAAAATTCACGGAATCTTGAACCAGCAATAACAAATGGATGGGTAACTGGAATGGATGAATAGCAATCATCGCATAAACCACTAACATTAAATACTCTTGTTAAATCTAACCATTTACCATGTACACTAGTGGCAAATCTTTTAAGCTCTGGATCTTGAATTTTATCGAGGAATGCTGGATTTGGGAACCAATCTACTGGGGTAACTGGCTCGACTTCGTAACCGGCTGGGTAAAAATTATTGTTTAAAAATTCTAAAAGCTCTGCCTTATTTGGACCACCAGTTTTACTTGTGTTGAACATTAAAACTTCAAATTGTTGATTGATATAATCTACTGGATATCTCATTGGCATATCGACAAAAGTTTTAGAGTCATTGAACACTTGATTCAATTGGATGGTTTTTAACAATGACCCAGTGCAATACACTGGATGTTGGCAACCGCCTACATGGTCTTGATTTACATCGGTGGCTCCTTGAATTGAAAGGATGATATAAGTTAAAAAACTTAAAATTAAGAAAAATAAAGATGCTTGCATCTTTTTACTAATGAAAATAGTTTCTAATTGTTCTAAATAGTGATAATAATAACTTTTTAGATATTTAAAATTTTTTTTTCTTGGAGTTGTTGTTGTTGTTTTAATAATTTTTTTTTTTTTTTTGTTTTCTAATTTTATATTTTTTTTAATTTATTTAATTTTAATATTGTATGCTTATATTAAAATTTAAATTAATTAAAAAATATAAAATAAAAAAATATAAATAGAAATTTATATGTTGGTATTTATTATTATTGTTATTATTATTATTATTATAGGAGTGATATTAAATAGAATATGATATATATGTAAACTTATAAAATATTATTACAAACTAATAATACCACACACCACACACAAAAATATAAAAATAAAAAAAGATACTACAGAGAAATGTTTTGTTGTTACTAATTTTACACAATTATCAATAACTTTCTATTTTTGTTTAGTTGTTTGTCGAAATTTCGCTGTCAATTTAGAAATAAATTAGATAAAAAAAATACACCAATAAAATTAAAAAATAATCTTTAATCTTAAATAAAATAATAAAATAAAAATAAATAAAATAAAATAAAAAAAACTATTTATTTATATATTTTTTTTTTTAAAATTATTACTATTATTATTTCTATTATTTCTATTATTTTAATAAAATTAATTATTTATTATTAAAAGTGGGGTATAATAAAGTATTACTACACAAAGTATAGACTTTAAACTAGATGTTTTTTTGTATTATTTTTTAAAATTATTAATTTTTTATTTATTTTAATATCTCTTATATAGAGAGAAAAAAAAAATAAAAAAAATAAAAAAGTGATTACTAAACACACACACAAATAAACAAACCAATGAAATAATATCCACAAAATCTAACACGCACACGCAAACACACACACACACACAACAACTTTAAAGCAAATAATAATATAAGCTACTTGTTGTTGTTGTTGTTTTAGTTTTTAATGTTATTGTCGTTTTTGTTTTTGTTGAACCTAACACAAAAAATAATAATAATAAAAAATATTAATAATATTTAATGCCAAATAATAATTAATTTTTTTAATGTTGTATTAGGAATATAGTGTGAAGTTTGTTCTTTATTATATGAAACAAAATGTAATGGTATTTTATTATCAATATTGGTTTTATATTTTTTATAAAAAAACTATTAACGAAAAAATAATTTAAAAAAAATTTGGTTTTTTAATCATTTTTTTTTTATTTTTTATTAATTTTAAAGATTTTTTTATTTTTACATATTGCACTAAATCCTGGTAAAGCGGTTATTAAAAAGATGCCCAAAGTATTGACAAATTAAAAAAAAAAATAATAATCAAATAATCATATAGGGTATTTTTTATATCTGGGTGTAGCGGGTTTAAAAAATATATTAGATAATATGCACTGTTCTCCAACAATGCAATATTACTTCCAATGTTTAAATTTTCAATTTTAAATAATCATATATATATAACACACTAATAAAAATAAAATGTTTTTATTTATCAGTAATTATTAATAATAATAATTAATTTAAAGATTTCAATAAATAATAATCTTTTAAAATAAATAAAATTAAAAAATATAAACATTTAAATTCACACTCTTCCTAATATAAACTTTTTTTTCTTTTCCCCATTTAAAAAATAATCAATTATTTTTTTTTAGACGAATGAAATTTAGATTAATTTAACAATAAAGAATTTCAACTAAATAATTAAAATTAATAATAATCATAAAATAAAATTATTATTTAATATTTAAAATAATTTAAATTCATTGTTTATTTATAAATTTAACATATATATTTATATAAATAGAGGAATATTATATTATTGTTATTATTTTTATTTACAACTTTAATTAATAATAAAACAAAAACAACAATGCCATTAAAATATAAAAATAAATATTGGAGGGTTTATTAAATTACCATTATTATTAGTTTTTTATTTTTGACTTTTATTTATTTATAAATTTTGAAATTTCAATTTTAAAATGTAAATTTACTAATGGGGTCAAATAGTTTTATGTGTATTTAAATGGTTCAGACGAGTATGTCAAAACTAATTAGTTACTGAAGGAAATGTTATTAAATTTAGTATGATTCTATTATC